ATCTGCACGTGGCTCAGGGGGACAGGGATGTGCCAGCACCTCTCCAGGCACCCCGTCACCTCTGGTCTCCCCGCCAAGGGCCTTGCTTGTCCCCTGTGCCTCAGTTTCCCTCCTCTGTGCGCCATCAAGTCTTGCAGACAGTGATGTGTTGGCTGCTTACTGGTACTACGGGGGTGCTTGGGGGTGCAGGGGAGGGGTGCGTGCCCGTGGCTGTTTTCTACCCGTGTCCCTGTGAAAACAGAGCAGTATTTTCTCTTTAGGAATGCACTGTGGTGGGAGTCTCTCGCCTGTCCTCCCTGGCAGCAGAGGGGAAGCAGGGGGTCATTTATCCTCTGGATTTGTCAGGGTCTGGTCCACCCTGTGTCGACCCTTAATTTATTGGAAGATCCCAAAGATGGGGTGTCAGAGGAAGGAGTTATTCAGGCAGCAGCACTCCCCCAGCACGGTGGGGACACGCTTGGTCAGGGGCCGGCTGCAAGCTCCCTGCTTTGCATCTCAGCTGGAGGAGCCCCCATCTCTGCTGCTACCCCCCCCCATTTTGTGGGTGCTCAGTGCTGGGTGACTCCATTGGGATGGGGTGTGCAGGAGCAGTTTGGGGACCCTCGGCTGTGCCGTCATGGCCGCAGCCCCATGCCAGGAGCAGAGCTCCCTCTTCTCCACTGACATTGCCATCCCGCTGCTGGGGCATGAAGGGCATCGCTGCAGGAGATAGCAGCGTTATCTCCCAGCCCAGGGCAGGCAGCAGCACCGAGCGTGACCTCCTCATGCCGTCCCCTCTTGGACGGTCATCTGTCCTGCCAGGGGACCCGCGTGTCCCAGCTTGGCTCCTACAAGTCTCCACCCGGGTTGATCCCGCTCAAATGCAGCCCCGTTCCCCGCGTGCCTCCATAAGTCGGGAGAAAATCCAAAGCAGGGGGGGAATGGCAGCCTGGTCGCTGCCTCCCTGGCCCCAAAACACATCCCCTCCAGAGGTACAGGGAAAGGTGTGGTGATAAATCGCATCGACACATTCAGCCGGCTCTAACTAATGACCTCCCCGGCACTCGACACAGTTTCCCGGTGCGCTGGCTGTTCAGAATATTGTTATATTGTTGTAACATTTAACTCCCTTTTAAAAAAATAAATAAATAAAATTAGCCGTGCAGTTGGCAGATTGCTGGAGACACTTGGATTCTCTGCGGGAAACCGCTCCGCGGTGGGAGTTTGGTTGCTGCAGTTTAGTGGCAGGAGTCGTTGCCTCTAATGTCAGCTCGTTAGCTGGGGTAGTCCAAGGCGTCGCTGTGTTCAGAGCCGGCGGGGAGCTGTGGGCCGTTCCTTCCCGCTATTAATATTATGGGCCTGTTTTGTTTCCTACGTGTTAACGCTATTAGTGCTGCATAAGACGCGTGGCAGGAGCGGCAGGGGACGGTCCCGGTCCTGCCCG